TCAATCCCCCAACCGAGCACGTTCACAAACAGCCAGCAAAGTGCCACGTGGATCGCCAGCTGGAATGCCGACAGCCAGGCAATGACTGTGTTCTTCTGCTGTGCCTGCAGGTACATCTGCATGGTCAGGCTGAACACGAGGCTGTAAGAAAATGGCAGGAACCACAGGCATATGTACCCGGCCGATCTCGCCACATCATGCTGCTGACGCAGTAGGTCGAAAATCGGGGTCGCGTAGAGGAAGAGCGGCAAAAGCAGGGTAAGTGTGATGAGGTCGATGAACCACGAGCGTTGGAGGTAGATTCCCATCATGTGGTATTGCTTGGCTCCGTACGCTTGGCCGCAAAGGGTCTCGGTTGCGCTCGACATCCCTATCTGCCGAAAAAAGGAAAAAGAAAAGACGAAAATTAATGGTTGCAAGCTAACATGGTTCGTTTTGACTTGTGAAAGCTCGAGTTTGACTAGCTTATACATTCAAACGAGTGAAGCTCGAAGAACTAATCGTGTTTGCTGTCAAACAAGTTGAGGCGAGCATGGGTTATGGTTTAGGTTTTGATGTTCATTAAATAACGCAACCCAATTTTACACGAACTGAACTTGGGCTCGACATAACTATCTGCCGGAGAAAAAAGGGCTTTAATGCTTGCAAGTAACATAGTTTGTTTCCACTTGTGAAAGCTCGAGCTTGACTAACTTGTATATTCAAACTAACCAAGCTCGTACAACTAACCTATCAACACGGTTAGACTTTGGGGTTTTGGTTTAGGTTTTAAAAAGTTCATTAAAATAAAGCGATCTGAGTTTATACGCGTCGAACTCGAGCTCGACATACCTAAGAAAAAGGGCTTTAATGCTTGCAAGCTAACATAGTTCGTTTCCACTTGTCAGAGCTCGAGCTCTACTAGCTTGTATATTTTAAACGAGCCAAGCTTGAACAACTAATCGAGCTTGCCTATGAACACGGTTAGAGTATTGGATTTTGGTTTAGGTTTTAAAAGGTTGATTTAATAACACAAACCGAGTTTACATGAGCTGAACTCGAGCTCGACATCACTATCCACCGGAAAAAATAATAATAATAATAATAATAATAAACGGGTCTTTAATTCTTGCAAACACACACACACCCACACACACACACACTCAAATAAGGTATCATGGTTTCGAAAATCGAAATATTACCAATAAACCATTGACGAACCGGATGCCTAGAGTTTGAACGAGCGCGTATCCAGCTAAGTCCACCGAGCTTATGTGCCCGATAAACGACTGAGTCACAACTATGGTCCCGAATGAGGCCACGCGCGAAACGATGCTAGGAGCTGCCACTTTCCATATTTTCTTCGACTCCTCGTAAATTCTTGAATTCAAATCTCTGTCATTTCGCTCTGCTTTCGAGCTTACTAATATAAGGCTCTCGTGCAAGCCATTGCCATCCATTGCGTACTATAATTAGTTTGAAACACAGACAAAGATTGTTATAAACAAGTTAAGATGTAAGAAAACAGAGAGGTTTTATTCTCACAAACACAGTGCAAATACTACTTACATACATGTATGTTGTATATGTAAATAAGGCCTCTTAGTTTCTTTTTTTTTTTTTTTTTTTTTTTTTTTTTTTTTTTTTTTTTTTTTTTTTTTTTTTTCTTGAGTTTATTACATGGAATGTGAGTTATGGAAGCTTGGTGCTGATATAAAGAGCATGTGGAAGCGATGAGTTAGGCAGGTGGTTGGGTGGTTTTGTGATGAATATTGGTCATTGTACCATTACGGGCGTCGAGCTATAGGGTCTCTTTCAGGGTTTGCTTTTGACGTGGGAATTAGGCTACTGTCAGGTTTTGGTCCAAGTTGATAGTCAGTGTGTTACAAAAATGGTGTGCAACTCTAACGGCTCCTTTGGCGCTCATGACGACTCTATGGTTAAGGCGATCCGGGACCTATTACACCGACAATGGACTGTGCGAATTACACATGTCATCGAGAAGCGAATTTCGCGGCGAATCATATGGCCAGTGCGGCAGCATCCTACCCGACTGGGTTGCATCGAGTTCTTTCTCCTATTGCTGGTTTAGGATCGTGGATTGATCACCATAATATCGGGGTGTCTTATCCCCGACAAGTCCTTGCTTAGGCCTCTGGCCTCCTCTTTTGTACTTAAAAAAAAAAGCATGTGGAACATTATTATTATTATTATTATTATTATTATTATTATTATTATATTCCCTACATTAATACTACCTCTTGTTCATTATAAATGTCGTTTTGACTTTTGTGATTCATCCATTTTATTATGTATCTAGATATTAATATGTCTAGATACATAACAATTAATGTCTAGATACATAATAAAATGGATGAATTAAAAAAGTCAAAACGACATTTATAATGCATAGGAGAGAGTACGAGGTATCTTTATGAAAATAATGAAACCATCATTAGTTACGAAGAATTTTAATTTATTTTGGTCCAACTTTTCTTAGAGTTTCATCAATATAGAAATCATGAAACCATCAATAATTGCGAAGAATTTTCAATATTTATTTTTTGGTCCAACTTTTTTGTAGAGTTTCAATATAGTACACCATCTTATAACTTTGTCAATTTAAAACACGACTTTTATGTTTTTTGCATATTGAGACATGAACTTAGGTTTCAGTAATTGATGAACGATGTGTCATATAATATATATATTTTTTTATCTGAATTGCAATATTTAAACAAAAAAAAAGCCAAATTACCTATTGAATTGCATTATTTATTTATTTATTTTTTTTTTTTTGGTACAAAATAAGAGGCCAAAGGCCTAGAGAGGGACTAAACTAAGACGCGTCTCGGATAAGAGACTCCCAGAAGATTATGATCCAGTCAGAACCTCAAGTCAGAAGGTGGAGAGGGAACACAATGCAGGCCCAACGAAGAGGAAGCCGCGAGGGAGGCCATATAATCAGCCGCAAAATTAATCTCTCGATGAACGTGAATAACCCGAACTTGCCAATCTCTACTCAACAGCTCCCGAATAGCCCGGACCAGAGACCCGTGAGCACCATGGGTGTCACCCAAGCCAGAAACCATGTTCGTCACACACATATTATCAACCTCAGCCAAGACACGCCGGCATCCACGATTATAACCAATAATTTATATAAATAGGAGTCACGTTTTGATATACTTCCGACAAAGATCACTAGAA